AGCATATTTGCCCTCGAAGCTTCGCTTCTCGGGCAAATATTTGTTTCAAGAACATCAAATTTCCGCGGGGCAACTATCAGCCGATAGTTCCTCGACAGAACCACTCTATTGTTTAAATAGAAAGTGAGTAGCGTAGCCAATCAGAGAAGGACATTCGTGATAGAACGCTAGTAGATTTTCTTTCGCGTTAGATATAGAATTGTTCCTCTCGGTAGTCTGTTGCCTCGTTGTAACTTGCCCAATTCAAATATTTGTGTGAATTGCACAGGGAAAGTCCAAGCTAACTATTTGTACTTTGAATTTTGTAGGAATGGATGAAGCATTGGAACATCTAGAGCGATTGAACGAATATAATTTCCATATCCCAGAAGACCTGGCGATCAGGCATTTAACCAAGATTAATGATGCATTTGGAGACACTTAATGAATGGAGATATTCAAAAAATACGATATTTATCTTGAGATAATAATAAGTTATCTTCAGATAATAGATACAAACTGGTAAATAATTTAATGAGGGGATTCTTTTTTGAGGCGTCTGGTTAATTAAAAAATGTTTAGTGTGATAAAGTATTGAGTTTTGTAGCAATATCAGTTTTTGTTGATTAATTTGCGTTTTGTTTGCATCTATTTTGCTGCTGTTTTTATTTGAAGTTTTTAAACAAAACTGACTCGAGTTTTCTGCTGCCACAGAGCCGATTTGCGGTTTGAGAAATGGGGTAGAACCTCCACCTTCTCAAATTTCCTTTTTTTCTTGGAACTTCTATTCTATGTGGAAAAGTCTTTTTGAGGCACACATGTAGTTATTCTTTTTTGTACATTATTTGTTTTCATTTGTTTTTTCACGTGAGTTTAAATTATAAATTATTTGTGGAGCTATTAGCAGACTTTTTCCTCTCGCAGTCTGTCCTCATATCGTGTGTTTATTATTACAGAAAATTCATGAATGCCTTTTTCTAAGAAAGCAGGCGACGATTGAATGAAAATTGTGCAGTAAAACATCCTCGTAATATGTAACATCACTGATAATATTAATTAATGTCTTCTAACTGCCAGGACGTATCCTTGGTAGTGATGTATTGTTGGCAAATAATATAATGTAAGAATTGATGTAAAGAGCCTAACGTTACATTCCAAGGTAGAATCAGATGTCAGTAAAATAAAGATAAGTTATTAAACAGGGTTCTCATCCCTTCATACAGTGATCCAGGATAATCGATTTTTTACACGATTTTGAGTAGCTCACAAGCATGCTTGGCAAAGATAAGCCAAAAATTGAAGGGAATATATATCTATTTTTTCTCCTCCGTTCGCTCGCCCTGTGGGGGCTGACTTGAGAATTTCGCACGAGTTTATCGTCGCTTCGTGCCTGTGCTATTTATATTAAATTGGCACGCGACGAATCGATATTTCGAGGAAAAATAAATTGCAAAATTACATTCAAGGTAAATTTCTATAAGGTGGAAGAAGTTGAAAACGTAGTGGTCAGGGTTTCCGTGTCCCCCTTGCAAATACATTTTACGTGCATTTGGCGGGTAACGAACGAACTAACAAAGATGTCAAATCAATGGTTCTGAGCGGATAAGTTCTGTGTGGGCCTACTCTTCCGTGCAGAAAGCTTGCGAATGCATTTGGTTAGCCACCAGGTGAAAACATTAGTAATATTTCATCTTATGCTTTGATGTACGCAGTGTTTTATCAGTTCAGACTTACAGGTATAACTGTTTCCACATCAAATTGAAATGGAGCTGACTTAACAAAGTAAGCCATCACTCGGCGATGCAAAGCTATTTATGATGTTGAATAAAAAAGATATTTACACGTGGGTGTTGGTGGAGGGGAGTAGGAGCAGATCGTGTTTTACAGAAATGAAAAAGTCCTTTCAGACCCCTTTCACAATTCACGGAAAATAAAGTATAAGGTTATGACGCGTCAAGAAAAAAGGGTGGGGGGAATGTTTTTCATTTGTCGGACGTGCAAAACCAATGAGATTTTGAAACTTAATATCCAATGCACAGCCTTGATCGACATCTTCGCTATTTCTCCGCTTTATTTTGCTCTCCACAGAGCAAAAAGGACATGGCCCCTTGATCCCTAGAAAAATTCCTTTTTTGTCCCTTGTTTCCTACCCAAAATTCCATTGTTTCGAAGTTCCCTTTAATAGTAGAGATGTCCCTTGTTCCCTTGAAATGAATGATGAGTATTCCCTTGTTCCCCCAAACCCCTGGGAGGCCCCCAAAGAGTAAAACTCGACTAATTCAAAGGGATCAAATGGATTAGCTTCCATAGATATGCAATATGTTTTATGAAGAAACTGACGGGTGTCGAAAATACATAGAGACCTGACATTATCAAAATAAACGGTTCACAGCGAACTCAACGGTTATTTCTCATTTCACTGGAAAAGTACTTTTTAGAAATCACGGTTTAGAACTACTAACAAAATCACTACTGTATTCACGAGAAAACAATAACATTTCACAATTCACGGGAAAAAAAACATAAGGTCATTCAGGAATCATGAAAATCTGATGCCCTTTATTTTCCTCGCCGCCACTCGGAAGTATGAGGAAACAAGGAAAATTACCAATTTAAACACATGCAATTTTGTGAAAGAATTTATTTACAACATTGATCATTTTAAGCAAGATAGAAATTAGGAATAAAAGCGAAACAATGAATGAAAATTTGCTGGCGAAAAATTTCAACCACTGGCCAACGATACCGATAACGACACAGTTGTGAGTCTCGGCTCACTCCCCAAAAGTTAGTTTTTCCGATTGCGAAATTCTTGAACGGCCACACCGCGCTTTTACTAGATAAAAAGAGTCATAGTAATATTATAAACTTGTGGCATTTTTACAGGCAGCTAGCCATAACCAAAAAAATAAAATGGTTGAAGCATTCTTTCAAATTTAATAAACAACGTTACGTTTTGCATTCTTGAAATTGGCCAAGGTAGATAATTGTATCGACCAGCAAAAATAATTCACTGAAACGAAATCTTGGTAGTAACTACTGCGTAGGTATCTATGCTGGCGTAAGTCTGTTCCGCCGGAATTTTCTGGAGAGGACGACGGAGGATTTCTCAGTACTGCAAGCGGGCCGTGTGTACAATCAGAAAGCGGCATGTAATCACCACAATACTCAATCCTTTCCAGTACTTTGTTACTCGCAAAGGCAAAAATTTTACTGACATTCAATCTATTCGGCAGCTCCTTACCTAGTAGCGTTGAACGGGGTATGAATAGGGCTTATCCACTCCAAAGCCAACCGATCGAGAGAGGATCGTGGCCGAGGGATCGGACTTTGATGTGCATTTGCTTCGCCGGACAGTTTTTACCGCGCTGAAAGGCGCAATACCAACGGGACCGCTGGGTTTTTCACCATCAAAAGACTGAGTTTTGGTCCGAGCGCTAACTGTTGGGTAGGAATAAAACTGCGGCCTGGAGCGTGTGGCGTTTGTTGACTCGTGTTTGCTGGACTGGCAGCGATCGGTACGCGACGGCGAGATCAAGATGGAAGGCCCGAGAGATCTGCCCCCCTTCATCAAATTGTCTTCATCTTGTGTTATCGGGGATGATACTAGCCATAAGTATGACGCTGCGTGTAAATTTGCAGGACGTTTCGAACTGCTCGTGTTACTATTCCGCCTTTTCGTCGTACGCTGATCTGCCTCTTCAACATTTTGACTTCCTTCGCACTCATCTCCGTCACTTTTTTTGATATTTGTAAATAACTCGTCATCTTCTTTTCGTTGTTCGTTAGTTTTCACATTTTTGTTTGACCAATTTACAGGCATGGGATGTTGTTTTGAAGCTGCCTTGGAATTAAACGAACCCATTTTGACTAGTGGGTTAGCACAGTGGTTTTCTTCGTTGGTTGCATCTCTGGTACTTATTTTGCTGACATCATCAACTCCTCAATCAACGCGCATCGTTATACTTCAAAGGAATACCGAACTGCCGCCCGCTAATTACCTCCGACTGCCAAATGTGTTTTTTCCTTATTTTCTTTTTAACTAATTAGCAAAAATCTGTTTACAATATAATGGAAAGCTAGTTAGTTCAGTCCACTACACTGATTAGGGTTTTTTCAACACGAAATCTCCATACTTTTAATCATTATATAGACACGAGTGTTTTACTGGAAAATACACAAATCGTAAATTCAAACAAAACTACATCCGGGACTCTCTTCACGGCTGTTTTTGGAAACAGAAAGTTGCCTAGGTAACAAGAAAATTACACGGAGACGTGATATGAATTTTATTTTCTCGTGTATTTGTTAAGACAATGTTTCACTCACTCGCTGCATGCGCTCGTTCGTAAAATATTGTTTCTATACCACTCATATTGTCAAACTGCTATGTAATGTCCTGTTTCTAATTATACCATGGCATAGAAAATACAGCCAATCAGAATACAGAAAAGCCGTTTATACTCGACGTAATCTCCAACCCAGATCTCCCACAGCCGTGCGGAAGGGAGATACTTTTCAGCGTCAAACTGAGTAAGATCTGGGCACGAGACGGCGTTAACCCAACCTTCCCATCATCCATGCGCGGCATTGATCAACTGTGATGGCCGTAGCATTTTCTATGACATGGTATCAAATAGTTATGCAACACGTTCTCGTGATATACTGCTCAAAAGCGTTAAAAATGTTTAAACAAGCAACCGCGGACGATGATCCTGCTCATATACGTAGAATCAATAGTGATCTACTCGGCTTCGCATACAAAATAAAGAATATAACTGAAAGCAGAAACCGACACAACGTAGGATGATTTTTAATATCAAGGTGTACTATTTTTCGGCTGGCCAAACCAGCCTTCTTCACCTTAAAAAAATCATACTACGTTGTGTCGGTTTCTGCTTTTATATTCTTCAAAACCGTTGCATAACTAGTATACAAACGCTCGTTTTTAACTCGTGTAACCATGGCTGGATCCCATGCACACTGGACATTTTACATTCAACTAAACACATTCCTGTCATAAAGCAGAGAGCTTAGGACGCCTCTGGGAAAAACATCGTGCCTTCTCCCGCCATTGCTCAACTTCTATATAAGGCGAGGAAGATAAAGTTCAGGGACTGCACAAGGAAAGTTTTGGAACACAGCAAAAAGAGGTATAAAGGCATACAGAACTTACCCTTCCAAAAGTGAACCGCAAGCAAATAGTAGTTGAACCAACCTCGTTGCCAATGCCAGCGCGGTTCCAGCCAGCGGTGACCGAACGCCGGACGTTCCGGCCAAAATAAAAAACCAGCACCAGGAAATCCTGGTGACGGTTTGATTGTGCGCTCAAGTTCAATAACGGTTTCTGAACATGCGTAAAGAGAGCCACCGCTGTGACTAATGCTGGCTCGCTTTCCGATTTCTCCTATAGGTCTCAATACTTTGTGCTGACCCAAAGGATCGCGGTGTCTAGGAATTTAACGAGACTGGAGAATTCAACTAACCGCAAGCAAGCCAGAGAAGAAATAACCACAAGCAAAACAGGAGACCTACATTTCATGACATACAGGAAAACTGAGGCTCGGTCCACACTACGTCGAAAACAGAGCTCTATTTCTACGGTTAGGCCTACCGTCGAGTCCACAGTAATCCGTCACGAAAACGGAGCTTCAAACCGGAGGGATTTGAAAACGCTGGCTTTTAGTTTTTGTGTGGACCAAAAACATTTCGAAAACGCAGTTTTTCGAAATCGATGACATCACGGTAATCCTGTGATTTCCTTGGCCCGAGTTTTCGTCAAACACAAATCCAAAATTACCGGTGATTGTTGCGATTTTCAATTTCTCCGACGTAGCGTGGACGGAAAACATTTGATGCGTTTTCTGAGTGAATTATGGAAGTTCGTTTCTTTTGCCAGCGCTTATTTCAGGGTGTTGCCTATAACTAGAGATCTCCGTTCGCAATTTCTCTACGACCAAAGTTTTGATTCCATAAAATATTTCAAGACAAAAACGCAACACTGCGCATCAATAACGTTCCATCATAAACGTACAATCTCAGTATTCCATCATGTTTTATTGCCGGAGTTTTCCCTGCTAGCCTGCATTTATTGAATTATGTTGTCCTACAAGAGTCGACCGTGGTTCGTTCGTCTTTTCCTTATTTTGTGAAGAAAACAAAAAAAAGGGCGTATCAGCAAGGTGTATGAGCGATTTTCGCTTCGAATTTGAATTCAACATCTTTT